GCGGCTCTGATTGTAATTTTGCTACATTTCTCAAATATTTGCAAACGATATGAATTATTATGTTATCAGACATATGAGGAGGAGCGAATCCCCCTATCTTGAGTGACAATTACTGTCAGGGCCGGAGTGGGACTCTTTTTCAGCCCTGGAGTTTCAAGCCTTAGACCGGCCCACCTCAGTTCACCACTGACTATATTAAAATAAGGTCATTTCCAAATCAGTTTCTAATTACACTATCACGTCTTTTTTGAGAAAACAGCTGTTTTAGAACTTCAAATGTTCAACAACCAGCATTATATGTCTTAACAATAAAAATGAAAAAAAAAAAACATTTCTCTGACGAGGACCGAACCCGGGACGGCGGCGTCGTAACTTGACGTGCTAACCACTGTACCACAACAGCTGTACATTAAATGGTGACTTATCTAGGTATATCATCATTAACCTGTAGGCTCCATCTTGCTCACGAGGCTACGAAAAAATAGATAAATAGAGCAGAGCTACGGTAAAATAATGAATAAGAAGGCTGTGATCAAGTAAATAAATGAATTATTTTTAAAAAGTGTGACTGCTGAGAGCAACAGATTCTGGAGCTAGGGACACCGGCCCTCGCGGCCAAAAAACGGACCGGCCCACCGGGAATTCTCCCGGTCCTCCCGATTAGCCAATCCGAGCCTGATTACTGTTGTAGGGATGGTTTACCCAAAGAATGAGCAGTCTGTCAGATGAAGAAGTCAGAGATTTAAATAAATAAATCAAGTTTACTGAAGATAGTTTGCAGTTTCATCAGCAGAAGCCAGCTTCAACACTCGCAATGAGTTCCTAGGCCGCTCTGCTTACAATCACCAATCAATCACAATTATACTCTCATATAACGTCATCAACTGCGTCACACATATAGGTGTTTTAACCTGATTGGTTAAAACACAGATAAACTAGGAAATTTCCATGTGGGGTTTGTGCGTATATTCGGAACAATATCTTAAGCATAAACGTCTGGATAGGGTTGTAAGCTCCACAATGGCAAAGCAGTGGGGGTGGCTGAGATTCACCCTGTGTATCTTAGGTCATTGGATATTGTGGGGCTGTCTTAGCTGGCACATCTCTACAATGTCGCATGGAGGTCGGGGACAGTACCTCTGCACTGGACAACTGGGGTGGTGGTTCTTATTTTTAAGTAAGGGGACTGGAGGGTGTGCTCCAGCTATTGTGGGACCACACTCCTAAGCCTCCTCGGGAAACTGCCAGGGTACTGGAGAGGAGGATCCAGCCCATGGTTGAACCTATAATCCAGGAAGAGCAATGCTTTTTTTTTCCGGGCCGTGGCACACTGGACCAGCTCTATACTCTCACCAGGGTGCTCGAGGGGTCATGTAAGTATGCCCAACTAGTCCAAATTTGTTTTGTGGACTTGGAGAAGGCATTCAACTGTGTCCCTCATGGCATTCTATGGAGGGTGCTGTGGAAGTATGGGGTCAGAGGCGCTTTAAGGGCTGTCTTGTCTCTGTATGAACAGAATAAGAGTTTAGTTCGCATTACTGGCAATAAGTCAGACTTGTTTTCAGTGCGTGTTGGGCTCTGGAAGGGCTGTCCTTTGTCACCAATTCTGTTCATAATTTGTATGGACAGAATTTCAAAGCGTAGCCTTGTGCTGGAGGGGGTCCGGTTCAGGGACCACAGGATTTCATCTCTGTTATTCGCAGACAATGTTGTTCTGTTGGCTTCTTCAAACATAGACCTTTAGCATGTTCTGGGGTGGTTTGCTGCCGAGTGTGACATGGCTGGGATGAGAATCAGCACCTCCAAGTCCGAGGCCATGGTGCTCCACCGGAAAAAGGTGATTTGCCATTTCCAGTTTGGAGGAGAGTCCTTACCCCAGGTGGAGGAGTTTAAGTATCTTGGGGTTTTGTTCGCGAGTGAGGGAAGGATGGAGCGTGAGATTGACAGGCGGATCAGTGCAGCGGCAGCAGTAATGTGGTTGATAAACTGGTCTGTTGTGGTAAAGAAGGAGCTGAGCTGAAAGGCAAAGCTTTCGATTCAATCTACATTCCTACTCATGGTCATGACCGAAAGGACAAGATCTCGGATACAAGCGGCTGAAATGAGTTTCCTTCGTAGGGTGGCTGGGCGTGGAGATCTGTCACCCGGGAGGAGCTTGGAGAGGAGCCGCTGCTCCTCCACATCGAGAGAAGTCAGCTGAGGTGGCTCGAGCATCTGTTTCAGATGCCTCCAGGATGCCTCCCTAGGGAAGAGTTCCAAGCATGTCCCACCGGGAGGAGGCCTTGGGGAAAACCCAGGACATGCTGGGGGACTATGTCTCTCGGCTGGCGTGGGAATGCTTTGGGATTCCCCCGGAGGATCTGGAGGAAGTGTCTGGGGAGAGGAAAATCTGGAGTTCTCTCCTAAGACTGCTGCCCCCTCGACTGGGCCCCGGATAAGTGTATAAAAATGATGATGAATATGAAACATGCCCTCTCTTTTGCTGGATATCAGTTTTAATAATCAATAATGACCATTAAAATATAAAGTATAGCATACATTAAGTTTATACATTATAGAAAATAAAGGCAAACAATCGGTCAATATACAGAATGTACGTGGTCACATTAATTATTACCTTATCTTTGAGCTCAGCCAAAACACATCACCTGAGAACAAGTAATAGATTCAAAGTCGGGTAATATGTCGTTAGATATAGACAACAAGATGAATTAAATATCACGTTTAACAAATATAGTGGGATTAGATCCAGCAATAGATCCTTGAAGAACAGTCTGAGGAGCACAGCTCTCATCTGGGTAGATATGCTGCAGTGCATGCCAGAATGTGTGTGTGTGGTCATGTGATGTGCGTTTTCAGTGGTGTGATGTAGACGGAGAGTTGTTTGGAAACGCTGGGTAAAACGCCAGTGTGGTTGCAGATCATTTTCATTCTAAAATGCCATTTTATAACTAAAACGTATTAGCGTAAACGGGGCCTTAGGCCGTACTTACACTATGTATAGTTGCCTCGAACCGGGCCAAAGCACGCTTGTCCCCCCTTCCGTCTCCCTGACGGCCCACTCTCACATTACAATTGGGCCTGGGCATGATTACGTCATCGATGATGCAATGGTCTAAAGCGCTCTCGCTCAACACAGTGAGGATTTCTTTAGTTATCGCTTTGGGATGCGGTGACACGCAGTCAGATATTTCGCCGAACAGATCCGCCACATTTGACGCTTATAAACAATCATAAAGCCCTCATGCTGCAGGAATGTGGAGGTGTACTGAAGGTGCGCAGCTGTCGTGGAGTGAGAAGTTTGCGTCTTTAATAAACTACGGCAGTTTGCGTTCACTGAACAGTAAGAATGATTAATAAATCCATATGAAACAGCCCCTTAAAAGTCACGTCTCGCTTTCAGGGTTTTGGCGCGTTTGCACTCTACAAGCATACCGTGCCAAAACCAAAGTGAACTGCGCTCAGGCACACCTCTTCCAACCGGGCCAGGGCCGGCCAAGTGAATCATGCCTGAACCCGATTCAGAGCACTCACACTTCTCAAACAATCCGGGAAACGGGCCTGGGCACGGTACGGATAGCATAGGGTGAGTAGGCCCTTAGTGTCCCTTTAAGTCACAACTAGGCTGTGTTTTAACTTGCGCACTACTGGTGCAACCAGCGCCTGTACCTTAAGTTTGATTCACTCTTTTAAAAGTCAGAGATTTTGATAAAGACCCACATGTAGTGTTTGTTCACTAGTCTAGCTATTGATTTGTGTTTCTCTTTCTTATTAACCTTTTGTTAGATTTAGCTGTGTTTGGCTTATCCATTTACCGGTGGCTCGCCAATGTTTTAGATTACTCTGTTACACAAAATAAGTAAGCTTACCAAAGTCATTATGGGGAGAAGACTTTATTAAAGACAGTGAATAGTACAGTTCCTCAGCAGCAATGCTAACCCATCGGTCTTCAATTAACTTAACCCAAAGTGCTCTCTGTGAAACACTACTTTATCACAAAGGATATAACCCGTCCCCTCACAACCACACTTAATTTCCTGTAGGCCTTTTGGTTCACACCTTATCAGATGCAGATGCTTGTTTGCATATGAAACAAGTTATACAATCTCTCACTTTTATAGAGGTTAGTGTTTTGAATAATCCTCTTACTCATCATTCCCATTATTCTGACTTATATTGCATTGACAAGGAGTTTTTGCTATATTACAATCAGTATTTAGTAAATCTACTGTAAGTTCTAATGTCACCAATGTTACTAGTTGAAACCTAAAGTGACTATGAGGTCTTGAAATGTATATAAACGCTCAGCTGTCAGGAGAGGTGGTGGTGTGGTGGTGTTTGACAAGGTGCGTACGACATGTCTGAATAGAGAGGAGAGATGCGATAGGGAGGGGTGAGAAGGGTGCGCGACGTAGCCTATTTAAGGATCGGGAGGGAGACGCGAGATTACCGGGAGATCATTACTCCTTTGCGGGCATCCGGGAGACTCGCAAAACTTCCCGCTCTACTCATAATTCTCTCTTCATATAGCCGTACGCCTATTACATTTCCATAAAACACTGTGTCATTACCGCGCTCGGATCCTATCGCTTTCTCACTGCAGTCGATCCGCTCTAGCGTTGGTTTCAATCGAGCCGAAACCACCTCATTCAAGCGAACTCGGAGCGATTGATTTGGCGCGGATCCTAGTGCGATTGCTGGTTTCACAAATGCCAACCGAACCGCGCTAACTGGGCAAACGAGACAAGTTTCGAAACAAAAGTGTAGGTGTGAAAGCACCCTTAAAACAGGTCTTAAAAGGTAATGAATTTCGCTACATGATTCCTGTATATACCCTGAAAATGGCATTGTTCACTGAAAAAGCTGAACATGAAGTAAACCTTCATCCACCAGTGGACTTCGTCATTGGACCAACTGGATGGATTCTTATAAAATACATAATTATTATGTCAGCGTGCTGTTATGTCATTTTAAAGGCAGTCTTTTCATTTTTATTTCAGACCTGATGGAGGACACACACCGTCATGAGAAAATGAGTGGACAAACTGACTCACTGAAGAGAAAAGACAAAGAACGTGTCACCTGCACTCAGTGTGGAAAGAGTCTAACAAACAAACAAAGTCTCAAGAGTCACATGATGATCCACACTGGAGAGAAACCATTCACATGCACCCAGTGTGGGAAGAGTTTCAGAGAATCATCAAACCTTAATAATCACATGAGGATCCACACTGGAGAGAAACCGTTCACATGTACTCAGTGTGGGAAAAGTTTCAGAGTATCATCAAACCTTAAAAAACACATGAAAATCCACACTGGAGAGAAAACACACAAATGTGATCAGTGTGGAAAAACATTTTTAAGGGCTTCGCACCTGAAGAGCCACCTTAGAGTTCATACAAAGGAGAAGCCTTATCCATGCTCTGTTTGTGGAAAAAATTTTACACGTCAAGAAAGTTTAAGAAATCATCAGAAGATCCACACCGGTGTGGGAGAGTACAGGTGCTTTGAGTGTAACAAGACCTTTTGTAGGGCTGAAAATTTGAAAATACATGAGAGAATTCACACTGGAGAGAAACCGTACATTTGTTCACTGTGCAATAAGAGTTTCAATCAGTTTGCACATATGAAAACACATGCGAGAGTTCACACTGGAGAGAAACCTTACAAGTGTTCATACTGTGAGAAGAGATTCACTGATTCAGGAGATCTAAGAAAACATGTGAGGGTTCACACTGGAGAGAAACCCTACAAGTGTTCAGACTGTGACAAGAGATTCAGTGATTTAGGTAATCTGAGAAAACATGAGAGGATTCACACGGGAGAGAAACCTTACATTTGTTCACATTGCGACAAGAGATTCAGTGATTTAGGAAACCTAAAAAAACATGTGAGGATTTACACTGGAGAGAAACCTTACAAGTGTTCGTACTGTGACAAGAGATTCAGTGATTCAGGAAATCTGAGACAACATGAAAGAGTTCACACTGGAGAGAAACCTTACAAGTGTTCACACTGTGATAAGAGATTTAGTGATTCAGGAAATCTGAGACAGCACGAGAAGATTCACACTGGAGAGAAACCTTACAAGTGTTCACACTGCGACACAAGATTCAGACAGTTAGGAGGCCTGAAAACACATGAGAGGACTCACACCGGAGAGAAACCTTAAAGTGGTAGTCCACAGTGTTTTTTTAAAGCTGTAATTGCGTTTATGGGCTGCAAAAGAATTTGTTCGTGATTCATTTGTAAAAAAAAAATCTCAACGGGCTCTGATAGCTAACAGGCTCCGCTAACCTTAGTGAAGTTTATTTATAAACTAATTTTGAGAGGGAGCTCGTGCCTATGATTGATCACTGCTGGTCCCGCATTAACCAACGCATGATTCCTAACAAACTATAAATCACCAGACTTTCTTACTTTAGTTATCTTTGCCTAGAACAAGGTTACTCAAATATAAATTTGAAAGGTCCCGTTACCAAATTTTCATTTAGTCCAAGGTCCGGAAAAGTAACGCTCAAATTCCAAATAGAGAGCTCCAATAAAAAAAGGCAATCACCAAAACTTTCCAACTACACACAAAAAAATATCATGATAGAACTTTTAGTGTGAAAGGTGACACCTTCTTTGTGTCACCAGTTGTTTAAACTTGGGAATAAATGTTGTGAGGGCCAGGCGGAGGCACTGATGTAGCTGTTCATTGGTGAGTGTGCTGCGGAATGAGTTTTTCACCATGCTCATGGTTGAAAAGGCAGAGTCCCAGCAGTACATTGAGGGAAACATTGTGAGAATCTGAAGGGCCATCTTCTGCAGAAGAGGAACACCTGCTGCAGTAACCATTTTGTCCAGAAAGTAACGGGGTCACCGAGAGATTCCTGCAGTGCCAGGTTTTCTTGGAGCTTGATTAGCTCTGTTTGTAAAGCAGCAGCATTTGCCCATGGGAAGATATTCATGGCTTCAGTTGAGAATTCTGCAATACTTTTGACTACAAATGGATTTTCTATGCGCAACAAGTTTTCCCAGATGGAAATCTTCAAATCGAGTTTGGACATTTTAAATCAGTTTTTCCAGGAATTCAGCATAATTGTGATGGAGATGTTTTCCTGCTGTCTGATCCAAAAGTCTTGAAAAGTGAAGCAAGTTTTGATTTAAAGGGTCACGAAACACCAAAACACATGTTTTGAGCTGTTGACAGTTGTATATGTGTCCCACACTGCTAAAAACACTATTAGGACACCTATATTTCACTAAAAAGTGTAAATTGGTTGTTTTTGCGTTATTTCAAGCAAATTCGTACTTCCTGTTTGAAACGAATTTTTGAAGCTGCGTCACGGTCATGACATAATAGCGTGTATTCCAGCGTGCAGACTGGACGTCTGTGCCAGAGTGTGTCTTATTACCTCTTACAGTGTGATGCATTAATGCATGAGTAAGGCTTGGTTCAAACCAATCAGCGCGCTCTATTGTGCAACTTCATTAATATTCATTAGCGTCACCGTGTTTACGCCACAGAGACACCACGTTGTGTTGGCAAAACAAGCGTGAAGTGTTGCTTTTATAGTTTGCTGCCATTAAGTTTTGTTTTCATTTTCTCTCTGTGAGAGCTCAGCTGGATCACGTGTGGATTAACAGTGTACGCGACGCTCGACAACAATAACTTACGTGTCTAAGGAGGATTATTGTTTACCTGAGAGCTGTTCTCATCTGCAAACGCTGAGATCCGGATTCGCTTGTAACGTTAGTCTCCTCTTCATAAAGACGCGGCTCTAGTTGCTGGTGATTGACCTGTTTCTACAGATTTGGTAAGTGAGCGACCAGTGCTCTTTGTTTATTCAGTTTGTTCGTATGGAATTAAGTTAACTATTGCACTGAGTGCAAACATGTTAGCACCGCATTTTGTGACCGGAATAACACACGCGGCTTTCTGACGCTACCTGCCGAGTGCATCTAAGTTTCCGGGAAATGCAGAGTTTTTTTTTCTCATTCGCCGTGCGGTATCAAACATTGCATGAAAAATACACGCTTAGAGCAGTTCCTCGAATCAAATATCTCGTTTGTCGCGAGGGGCATGAATGAATTCCCTGAATGAAAGAGCCAAACTGCAGTTAAAGTCCACCATTTAATAATTTGCCAAATAATTCGACTACAGATGTCCATGTAGGTTAAACACCATCACTTTCTCCTGTGTGTGTATTTTGACTGAAACTCACGCGTGCCCAAATATACACTCCCACACCATCCCACTTTAGTTCCTCCGACACTCCCCCCTAAACAGAGCTGGACACGCCCACTTTTCTGACTTTTTTCAAAGTAGAGGTGTGAAAACACCCTGCTGAAACGAGGGGGTTTCATGGCCCTTTAAGTCACATTTGAACACCTCCAGCTTCCTCTGGAAAGCACAGACAGCTGACATGAGGTCTGTTTTTGCCCTGGAGCTTCACATTAAGGTCATTGAGATGGGAAGTAATGTCAGCTGGAACAGCAACAACTTCCATTTCTTATTCATGAAATTCACAAATGTTTTGGCTTGTGCACTCTTCTGATCCAAATGAAATGTCTCCAGCTCTTTTCCGCAGTGGCCAAAACCTCTCCAGTACCTTGCCCTTACTAAGCAACGGGACATTGATTGTTGTGAAAAAGCAAATCATCAAACGTTGTATTTACTTCTAGTAGAAATGAGCGCAACAAACGATGTTGCAGAGCAGAGGATGCTCTCAGATAGTTGACAAGTTTCATCACTTTTATCATTACATCTGAGTACCTTTCACCAAGACTGGCACACAGAACCATCTGGAGAATTATGCAGTGGTATGCCATGAGGTCAGGATGGTGAGTTGTCAAGCGTGACAATAATCCCCTCTCTCTTCTAATCATACTTGGTGCGCTTACAGTAGCAACGGAAGCAACATGCTTCAGGTCTATCTCTGTCTCTAAGCATCCGTGTCACTTCATCTCTCCTTGTATGTCCATGGAGGTTTGTGAGACCCAAACGTCTTCAGAAAATTATCGCTTTTCTTAATCAAAATAGCTGACAAAGACTATGAGTTGTGCATTGTCTGCGTGAAGCACAAATGCGAAATTATCTGTCCACTCCGTCTTAAACTCGCGGTTTTCAAATTCAACTTTCGTTTCTTTTTAACAGGAAGTTTTGAGCACGCCATTTTCACGTTCAGTTTGCAATAATTAAGTTAGCGATATTCACACTGTTCGGAAATGATGAGAACGCCTGTTCGTCTGCGATAGATAAAACTGACAGCATGGAGTGCGCAAGATTGCAAGCACGTAAAGCGAGCAAGTGACGTAGTTGTCATGTTGCTATAGCAATGCTGGCTGTTACAACTGCTGTGATTGGACATAGTTGAAGCAGCCAAACGGAGTAGAATCCTCAAAGATATATCGCGAAATCACGGTTGCGCACTTCATTAAAAACCCATTTGGATTATGATTAAGTTAGCATGCTGGTTTTGGCATAGGTCCAGATTTATTTGAGTTCGCCTATTGAGTACCAATCACCTAGAAGAATCCCCTACCCCTACTCCTCCTGTGCGGAGTTTATATGTTCTTCCCATGCTAGGGTGGGTTCCCCCAAGTTCTCCGGTGTCCTCTCACAGTTCAAAAACATGCATCATAAGTGCATTGATCAATATAAATCAGCACTATAGTCAAGCTCTTATCCAGTAGTATATCTCTATATAGCAATTTATAATCTGTCATCAACTCTAAATAAGATGGGCTAGGCTGGTTGGGTTCTCAAGACTTACCTGAGCTCAAACTCCCCTCTTGCCCTGCAAACAGGAGGGAGCCCTGTGCTCGAGGAACTTATGAGCTCAGGGCTCTCTCCTTGGACAGCATGCCAAACGAGCTTTATACCCAGCTCCATGTCATCAGGAAACATCATGCCTCTCTTGCATGCTGTCAACGCTGGCACGTCCATAGAGGTGACTGAGGCGGCAGAATAGTGAGGGGAGCATCCACCCCCTGGTCCTCACTTTCATCCGCCACACCAGTCACTTCTGTTTTTACTTCCTAATTGAGGGCAGCATGATGCGTGTCGTCTCCCTACAGTGCCAGTTCATTCAGTTCAGAGTCAGACACAGAAATGAAGAGGACACAGCTGAAGCCATGCAAGCGCAACTCTTGCAAGATGTTGTTTTTGTTTTGTTCATTGGTATGAGGAGGAATGTGGTCAAGCCCTCAGCATTTGATAGAAATAAAGCAGATCAAACAGACAGAGTAACTCTTTCTAAATTACAGATTTGCTCAGTTATTTGTCCTAGCCCACTCAGTACAATGTTGCATGCAGTTTTATATAATGTGGTTTAACCTTGTGAGCGACAGTAGTAAACAAATTAAAGAAACATTCAAATACTTTGTGTTACAAATATTCCTTTATTTCATTTCCAGGTCATTGCAGATCCACATGCAGGTTTATTACAAGAGAATGGTCAGGCAAGCAAGGATGTATACAGGCAAATCCAGGGTCGTGGTCATACAACAGGCGGAGAGTCAAAAGGCAGGCAGCAGACAAGAATAAACAATAAAACAAGGAAAGGGTCTAACACGGCAAGGAAAACGCATCGTTAGGGCTGGATGATATGAAGCTCAAACACACACAAGAAATACACGTACACCAGACTTGAAGTTGGCGCAAACCAACGCACATTAACGTGTTTATTTCATCGTTAGTAAATCCAAACGTGAGCGTGAAACCTGGTGTACGCACAAAAAGTGTGTTTGTTTTATTTCCATTGGCGACTCGTAGAGGCAATAGTGTTATATTTCACACTACAAAGTATCACATCAACACGTGAAAAACATTGCTATTCATTTATAATTGATAAAATGGGTTAATTGACTATATTTTTTTAACCAACTTTGTTATTTTGAACATATAAAAGCATTTACAAATGTATACAACCCTTAGTCTCTGTCAATGGCAGTGTTGGCCTTATGGAGATTGTCAAAGGTCGAATCTGATGGGAACGTGTTTTTAAAGGGTCACAAAACACCAAAACACATGTTTTGAGCTGTTGACAGTCGTATATGTGTCCCACACTGCTAAAAACACTATTAGGACGCCTATATCTCACTAAAAAGTGTAAATTGGTTGTTTTTGCGTTATTTCAAGCAAATTCGTACTTCCTGTTTGAAACGAATTTTTGAAGCTGCGACACGGTCATGACATAATAGCGTGTATTCCAGCGTGCAGACTGGACGTCTGTGCCAGAGTGAGTCTTATTACTTCTTACAGTGTGATACA